GTTGGTTAGGCGACTGCCTTCGGCTCGGGTCATGATCCCGGAGTCCTGGGATCGAGTCCCACATCGGGCTCCCAGCTCAGCGGGGAGCCTGCTTCTCCCTCTGACCCTCTCCCCTCTCATGCTGTTTCTCTGTCTCTCTCTCTAAAAAGGTCCCTAGATGATATGTATGCCCATTAAAATGGGATAAGCATTGATCTAAAATTATTTTAGTATTATAAAATGTTCTTTTAAAGTAGAAATTATTCTATTATTTAAAGGTGACATTGATTTGACATATTGATATGGCTTTTAATTTTGGATTAAAGATGGACTAACAATGGAATTCATAGTCAAATTAAGTCATCTTTTAAATTCCGGTCTTTTCTACATGGCAGAGGTTGGTATCAATGTCAAGAGATTCAGCCATTATTGCTTTGATTTTTCCTAGTGCTTATAAGAGATACACATCCACACACTGATGCACACACATTGGGTTCTTGCATATATTTTTACTAAAGCAGTACTATCCAATAGAACTTTTTTTTTTTTTTTGAAATGCTTTCTATCTGCAGTGTTTAGTACAGTAGCTGATGGGTACATGTGCCTATTGAGGTTTTGGAATTATTGAGAACTTGATAATTTTTAACTTTATTTAATTTTAATTGCTTAAATTTAAATTTACATGTGGCTATTGAGAAATTGGAATATGGCTACTGTATCTGAAAAACTTTTTTTTTTAATTTTAATTATTTAAAATTAAATTTACATGTTACTAGTGGCTCCTGTATCAGAAAACTCTAAAACAGAAACTGGCAAACTATGACCTGCTTTGTATGGTTCATAAACTAAGAATTTTTTTTAAATGTTGTTAAAGGATTGTAAACACACACACACACACACACACACACAAGAATATGCAGTACAACCTAGACTATATGCGGCTTGCAAAGCCTAAAATATTTAGTATCTGGCCACTCACAGAAAATGTTTGCAGATTCCTGTTCTAAAGTGTTACTTTTACTTAGTGCAGCATGCAGAGCTAGGAGATAAATTTAAAGCAGATATTTTGGTATGCACACCATTGTCTAGCATTGTCATCAAGAGATTTATAAAAAGAATTGCTTGATAGCTTTGAGTTTTGTTGTTATGAAGCATCAATTTAACTTATGCATTGAAGATTCATAATGTTTTCATGTTTATGGTTGACAAATTTTCAGTAACATTCAAAATTTAATTGAAGCCAAGAAAGTTGTAAAGATCTTCAGCCTTATAAGATAATATCAGTGCTGGTCAAAGAAATCTTGCTGTATCCTTAAATATTCATGCTTACAGACTAGACAGAAATACAAAAAATTTAAAATTCCTTAGAATTTTCTTTTGGGCATCACTTCCTCAAATCAAAATTTTACTGAAATCCATTATTTTTTTGTATATTTTGTGGCAGCTATGACATCCACTTAGTCATCAGTTTTTCCCTCTAGATTCTGAATCTTAGGAATCTGCAAAAATCATGTTTTGTTGTAACTCCTGGAAAAAATTTCTCAAAAATGTTTGCATAAAAATATTGAAAATTTCAAATTATCAATTTCTCAGAAATCATAATTTATTATACAAAGCTTATTACATCATGAGCTGTAGATAAAATAATTTGAGTAACATTTAGCATTTCCTTAATTACTTCTGCAATAAATCTAATAATTCAACTTTATATATCATTTCTTAAATATGTGTCATATCACTTGATGCCAGTGTTTGTAGTCTGAATAAATATCCTTTCATAATATTATCAAGTTTTACTGTGATCTTTGCCAAATGCAGAAAATTTCAATTATCACTCTCAAACTTTTTTGGATGATCTTCTGAACACATTTGCTTTGCCAAAACCAAAATTATGTATATTATATGTTCAAAAATATGCCATCTCTTACTTTCATTAGTGTCTGTTCTTCAACAAAAATAGTTATTGATTTTCTCAGGTGAGATTTACATTTTAAATACCTGACACTGTGATTGCTGTTCAGTTTACTTTATTCATGTTTACTTACTCCCTGTAATTGATTATTGCTCATCCTCAAGTATTGACTGATATTGTTTATACCAGCAGAAATTCAAACTACAAGATTCTTTGCATAAAGTAAACAGCATATAGTGATTTTTTTTTCATTTGAACAGATCTGAATATGGCAAACATCCCAAAACTTCCTACCTGTGCTGACTTTTTTAAAGGCAAACTGTCTTTTATAAGATAATGATTCTTAGCAAAAATACCTCATTGATGAATACTAAAAATCTGTCCACAACTTGTGATTTTAGGGGAATACATTTAGTTTGATGAATTTTTCAGGATTTTGTTTTTCTGCTAGTTTTTCTTGAAAGTCACTAGTCATTGTAGACATAGAAGTGGGAGATAATTTCACATCCTGTTCCATTAGTGATAGTTCATACTACATTCTGCTAAAACTAAGAGCTCTGAGGGTTTTTTCCCCTACCATTTTTTTTTTCATTTAATCCTCACCTACAATTTTTTTTTTCAGTGTTATAAATAATTTTCTTTTTCTTTTTCTTTTTGTGCAAGGTTTCCATTGTTTTCTTGTCTCAATAATTTTTATTATAATAAAATAAGCTTATTATAGCAATTGTGTTCTAATAACTTTATTGTAAATTTTATTGTGTTTACACTTAGGGAAAATAATAAAGCATAATATAACATCATATGACATAATATATAATCTGCTTTGGAAAATAACAGCAGATTTTAACATAACATTTAGTTTTTCTAATGACCAAATTTCCACACTAAATATTTTGATTGTTTCATAATGAGTGGATCATTATATAGTAATCTCTTGTTTAAGCCTATGTCAGTGTTTGCTTTTGGATTACTACTGATTAATTGGTAACAGTTACATAATGATTTGTATCATAATGAAGCACCTTCATAGATAGGGAACTCTGCAGTACATTGACAGTAATGTTGCCATAAACATAATACAGTTGATGTGAACTTCTATAAAAATATATTAAATATAGCCACTGCATTAATGCAGTGAGAGATTTTTTTAATTTTATGAATACATATATGTATATATTACATACATATTAAAGTAAATAGACTAGATAGATATAAAGATTGATGGATATATCATTTTGGCATAGTAAGTATGCAAATAAACTATTTTGGATTAAACATTTATAATAAAAATATAAAAATAAAAATGTTTGAAGAGTGGGACACCCTTAGAAGTGCTTTGCTTAACCTGAATAACCAAACCCATCCAGCAATTTAGTGAAACAAATTCACCCTTAACTTACATTCTCCCTCTTTCTAAAAGAATCTGCAATAGTCATCATGGCAGAGTGGTTTCAAAGGTAAATTGCATTATGTACCATCTGTTGATTAAATCATGACATTCTCCCACTTCTCCTTGAATAATTTATTTGTGGGATAAATTTATCAATACAGTTTTTTATTCACTAATTCTCTCTCAGGATTCTCCCCAGTTACTTATAATTTTGACACCTACCTCACCACATGTCCAAAGATATAAGAACACTATTGGTCACCATAATTTAGTCTCAGACTCCCTTCCTTCCCCAACACATGTCTCTTTATGTAAGCTTTGTGCTTTCCTTTCTCCTTTCTTCCCTTACTTCCTCTCTCCTAACTTTCTTCCTCTCCCTCCTGCTCCTTCCCTCCTTTCCTTTTTTGTTGACTCTCATGCTTTATTTATATAAAAGGAAGTAAATGTTGGATAAGTACATATGAAGAAGAAAAACAACTGGTTTATTAAACTTTTGAAAGGCCAGCTTAGAGAGCCTAAAATGATGAAGCAATAATGCCCAATAGTGATCTCATGCAATTAATGTCAATATAACTTGCACAGTTTGTTAGGTTTTTTGTTTCCATTATGCTGATAGATCCATTGATATTTCACAATACTTTATATTTGGAACTCAGATTTTAATGACTAAATTCCATTTACATTATATAGTCTGTAAAAATGAGGTCCTGAAATATGGAAAAATTTCAAGTTATCCAGTTTAATTTAAGCAAAACAAGGTAGCCATAGTTAAAGCTGGATAACAGTAGTTGGAGTATTCTGAGCCAAAGAAGGATACCGTTCTTTAATTTGTAAAAGAAGTCATCTGCAATTGTTGATGGGTATTTGATTGGTCATATGCTATGTATTTTGGGTATTTGAAAATGGACAATTTATTTAAAAATATTTAGTGAAAGTAGAAATAAATTTGAAGACTTGTTTTTAAAACTGCATTGTAATAACTTACAAATAATAGCAATTCTCGTAGTTCTATATACTGTATTCTTCTCTTGTGGAAAAAATTTTTTTGTTATTATTATTTCTCTGATTTATCTGATTTTCAGTTTGTTGTATATTGTTTGTATTTCATTTTTCTATCATATATGGTTATAGTGTATTCCTAGTGGCAGCAGTTGACTTTCATAAATCAGTTTATTAATTCTATAGACAAGCTTATTTCAAATAACTATTACAACCTCCACTTTAGCTCCCTGTACATTGATCCTATAAGTAGATACAATTCTGAAATGAAAATATCATATTTTACCTACAACTACAATGTTATGTTATATATTCTTTGAAAAATGATCAATAATATCCTCTAATAGTTTGTTAAAATACCACCTTGTAATCGTTCTTCACATAAAAAAGAGTAAGAAGAGATTATAAGAGATTGATGCCAGCTCACTGTATGGACAATTAGCATTCTTATTTCTTTTAAGCCAGACATAGGCAATTTAATATTGTAGTCATGTTTGCCTTCTATTGGAGTGAATCCTAAAATAAAGGGTGGAATAGTTGGTGCTTTTTTTTTTTTAAGACTTTTATTTATTTATGTGTGTTTGAGAGAGAGAGAGCCAGCAGGAGTGGGGCTACAGTTTGTACAAATTGTGTGTGGTCTTTCCATTACACAAACTTAGTTTGTTATAGTTAATTTTTTTTAAGTTCAGCCTTTAAGTTTATTTAAATTTTCTTTTTCAGGAAATGTACCCAAGAAGAGTTCTGAGAGAATATACTCAATTGTCCTTCTGTGATTAAACAAGACACTGCTGTATTTTGTAAGTTCATCTATTTTTATCCTAGATAGAGAAGACTTTCTTTGCAGAGAACCACATTTTTCATTGGAATTAGAGTCAAATTTTCTTTAATGGAAGGGTTTTAATTGATTTTGTTTTTCAAACTATCTTTTACTTTTACAAGGAGATAAGATAGTCTCCTTGCCTCTAATTAGTTCCTATGAAAGACCCAGTAGATTGAAAGAATGTAATACATGTCATTTATTTTGACTTTTGCAACCTTTTCTTTTCTTTTGCTTTTCTTTTAGGCCGATTATTTCCACCAAACAAAGGAAAAAATTATTCCGTATCTCTCCAAAATAAATGTAAGAGAGTTCAAATAAGTGAAAAGATATATTTAAAGATTTGTAATCCATGTCATTCTAAGTGCTTTTCATTGGGGTATTTTTTTAACCAGTATTTTTGAACAACTTAATTAGTGTTGAATATGATAACATGAAGACCACACTTAAAGACAGATTTTAGAAGCCTTTATAGTAATTTGGAGGGCATAAATCACTTTAGAAAGATCTTGAAATTGATGGAGAATCACATACAATAAAGGGAAATTTGTAAAGACAAATATTAACATATGTCAAGAAGAAAAAAATACAGATGTAAAAGATTAACACAGAAATCTCTTAAATTAAATTATGGCATCAGAATTCCAACTTTTTTCAAACCCTATCCATTTTTATTATTTTTTTCATTTTAGTTGAGAAAGAATTGAAATACATCTCTGTATAAGTTTAAAGGTGTACAGCATGATGGTTTGACTAACATATGTTATGAAACGATTACCACAATATGTTAACATCCATTATCTCATATAGATAACATAAAAAGAAAAGAAAAAATAATTCTCCTTGTGATGAAAACTCTTTGGATCTACACTCTCAACAACTTCCTGTGTATAATGCAGCAGTGTTAGCTATAGTGTGTATATATATGAAAGAATGGGGCGTGCAGAGGGAGAGGCAGACTCCCCGCTGAGCAGGGAGCCTGACATGGGGCTAGATCCCAGGACCCTGAGATCATGACCTGAGCCTAAGGCAGGTGCTTAATCGACTGCGCCACCCAGCTACCCTGGTGCTGTTTTATACACAGTGATAAAAAAGACAGTGAACCACTTGGCTTGTATTTCTTCATGATATGCTGCTTAAAATGGGTAAGGATCCAAAAGTGAACCTGTTGCTTAGCTTCACACAGTGTTCTTTTGTATATTTTTCAAGTGCTTCATCTTTTTATTCATCCTCATATGAAAATTAATAAATTCTGCCATAGGAAAGAGACTGTTAAGAAATGAAAATTAAGGTTCTCCTGGGTGGCTTAGTCGTTAAGCGTCTGCCTTCGGCTCAGGTCATGATCCCAGGGTCCTGGGATTGAGCCCCACATCAGGCTCCTAGCTCAGCGGGGAGTCTGCTTCTCCCTCTCCCTCTGCTTCTCCCACTGCTCATGCTCTCTCTCTCTCTCTGTATATATATCTGTGTCTCAAATGAATAAATAAAATCTTTAAAAAAAATGAAAATTTAAAAAATTAACAAAAATCAAAGGCATAGACTGTGAGAAAACATTGGTAAAGCATATATCAAATAAGGAACTTCTATGTAGAATATATTAAATCACAAAACAATAAGAAACCAACCAATTTTTCTAAAAGTAGGCAAAAAACATGAAAAGATAATTCACTAAAGAAGATGTATGGGTGGCAGATAAACACAAAGACTAATGCTCAAACTGAGTCATTAGAGAGAGAGGTTAAAACCACACATCTATATATATATATAGAGAGAGAGAGAGAGAGAGAATAGTTAGCTATATATAGTATATATAGTATAGTTAGTTATAGTATAGTATAGTTAGCTATAGTAATCATGTTGGAAGTTTGTACCTTTAGACCATTTTCCTTTAATTCCATCTTCCCTCACCCCCTGCCTCAAGTAACCACACGTCTTTTTCTATGAATTTGGTGTTTTGTTTTGTTTTTTAAGATTCCACATTTAAGTGAGGTCATACAGTATTTGTCTTTCTCTGTCTGACTTATTTCACTTAGCCTTATGCTTTCAAGTTTTGTCCATGCTGTCTGAAATGGTAGAATTTCCTTGTTTTTCTTTTTGTGGCTGAATAATATTCCATTGTGTGTGTGTGTGTGTGTGTGTGTGTATAATAGATAGATGATAGATAGATAGATAGATAGATAGATAGATAGATAGATAGATAGATAATGTATATTGTGACTTCTTTTTCCGTTCATCCATTGATAGCCACTTAGGTTGTCTCCATATCTTCTTTGTTATGGTAAACAGTGCTGCTATGAACATGGGAGTGCAGCTATCTTTTCAAGTTAGAGTTTTTGTTTCTTTTGGATATATTCCCAGAAGTAGCATTGCTGTATCAAATGGTAGTTCTATTGTTAATTTTTTGAGGAAACTTCACGCTGTTTTACATAGTTGCTGTACCAAATACATACATTACAGTCCCACCATCAGTACATAGGGTTCCCTTTTTTACACATCTATGCTAGCATTTATTATCTTTTGTCTTCTTGATCATGGCCACTCTAACAGGCATGAGATGATATTTCATTGTGGTTTTAATTTGCATTTCTCAAATGACTGGTGATTTCGAGCATCTTTTCACGTATCTGTTGACCATTCATATCTTTTTTGGAAAAACGTTTATTCAAGTCCTTTGCCCACTTTTAAACTGGATTATATAGGATATATAATATATTGCTATTGAATTGTAGGAGTTCTTTATTTTTTTAGATATTTACCCCTTATCAGTTATATGGTTGGCAAATATTTTTTTTCCCATTCTATACATTGTCTTTTCACTTTGTGTATAGTTTCTTTGGCTGTGCAGAAGCTTTTAAGTTTGATATGGTCCCCCTTGTTTTTTATTTTGTTGTTTGTGCTTTGGCTAAGATTTCCAGAAAATCATTATCAAGACCCATGTTGAGGAGTTTTATTACTGTTTTCTTCTAGAGTTTTGTAATTCCAGGTCTTACATTTAAATCTTTAATCCATTTCAAGGTAATTTTTTGTGAGTGGTGTAAGGTTTGGGTCCAGTTTCATTCTTTTAAATGTGAATATCCAATTATTCCAGCACCATTTACTGAAGAGATTTTTCCTCTCCATTGAATATTCTTGGCTCCCTTGTCAAATATTAGTTGGCCATATATACTTTGGTTTATTTCTGGGCTCTGGATTCTGTTCCATTGGTCTATATGTGTCTATTTTTATGCTAATACCTTACTGTTCTAGTCACTATAGCTTTATAGTATAGTTTGAAATAAGGAAGTAGGATCCTATTTTGTTTTTCTTTCTCAGGAAAGAAAATTGGCTATTTGATTTGGCTATTCATGGTCTTCTGTGGTTCCATATAAATTTTTAGAGTATTTTTTTTTAATTTCTGTAAAAAAATGCCATTGTAATCTGGATAGTGATTACATTGAGTCTATAGATGGCTATGGGTAATATAGATATATTTTTTTAAGATTTTATTTATTTATTTGTCAGAGAGAGAGAGCACAAGTGCACAAGCAGGGGGAGCAGCAGGCAGAGGGAGAAGCAGGCTCCCCCTGAGCAGGGAGTCCAATGCAGGACTTGATCCCAGGACCCTGGAATCATGACCTGAGCCGAAGGCAGACGCTTAACTGACTGAGCCAGCAGGTGTCCCAGTATTGATATTAATGCTTCCAATCTATGAACATAGGATACCTTTCATTTATTTGTGTCATCCTCGATTTCTTTCTTCAATGTCTTGCAGTTTTCAGAATAGAGATTTTTCACCTCCATGGTTAAATTTGTTAGGTATTTTATTGTTTTTGATGTTACTGTAAATGGGATCAATTTCTTTTTCTTTCAGAAAATTTATTGTTAGTACAGAAAAGCTGCTGACTTTTGCATGTTAATTTTATATCCTGCAACTTTACTGAATTTATGGATTAGTTCTAACAGTTTTTGGTTGTCTTTAGGATTTTCTATATATAAATTCATGTCATCTGAAAAGACAGTTTTACTTCTCCCTTTCCAATTCTGATGCCTTTTATTTCTTTTTTTGCCTGATTGCTCTAGTTAGGACGTACAGTACTATGTTGAATAGGAATTGGTGATAGTGGGCATGCTTGTCTTGTTCCTGATGTTAAAGAAAAAAATTTTCAGCCTTTCACTATTGAATATGATGTTAGCTTCAGGCTTGTTATATATGGCTTTTATTATGCTGAGTTATGTTCCTTGTACGTCTAAGTTGCTAAGCGTTTTTGTAATGAATGGATGTTGAATTTTGGCAAATGCTTTTTCTGTATCTGTTGAGATGATCATATAATTATTTTCTTTCATTCTATTAATGTGATGTATTTCATTGATTAATTTGCATATGTTTAACCATCCTTGCAAACCAGGAATAAATCCCACTTGTTAATGGTGAATGATCCTTTTAATGTGCCACTGAATTTGGTTTGCTAGTAATTTATTGAGAATACTGTATTTTTTTGCAACTGTATTCATCAGGGATATTGGGTTATAGCTTTTTTTTTCTAGAGTGTAGGAATCTGGCTTTGGTATCAGACAGTGCTAGCCTTGTAAAATGAGTTTAGCAGTGTTCCCTCTTCTTTTTTGGGGAAGTTTGAACATAATTGGTGTTAATACTTCTTTAAATGTTTGGTAAAATTCAGCAGTGAAGCCATCTGGTCCTGGGCTTTTATTCATTGGTAGAGTTTGGATTACTAATTCAATTTCGTCTCCTTTTTTTTTAATAGAGGTGGGGAGGAGCAGGGGGAGAGGAAGGGAGAGAATCTTTAGCAAGCCCCATGCCCAGCACGGTGCCCATTGCAGTTTGATCTCACAACCCTGAGATCGTGATCTAAGCCGAAATCAAGAGTTGGATGCTTAACCCACTGATCCACCCAGGCGCCACTCAATTTATTTAATAGTAATTAATCTGTTTAACTTTTCTATTTCTTCCTGATTCAGTCTTGGTGTTGTATGTTTCTATAAATT